TAAATGTTACAGAAATAAGTGTACAATTAAGTGGCAGGTACTTCTGTCATTCTTATAAAGATGTGTTTGTTGAAGACCTTTTGTGAAGTGACACAAGGTTATCAGAATAAGCTGATGTGAATTCTATTGTAAGTCACAGAAATACAGGTACTACAGGAGAATAATGCTATTAGTCATGACTTACTTTAGTAAGTCCTTAAGTTTCTGTCTCTTGGTCGGGTTGTGTTGAGAAGTTCCTTCTCACATATGCCCAGAAGTAATGTTAAGGTAATTGGTAAAAGTTACGGTCTAGCAAGGGGGTGCGCAGTGATTTCAGATGCCTCAAGAGCAGTGAATCTGGGAGTGAGAGATAGTCTTTGAATGTTGGTACTTTATTCCACATAAATTCTGCTCAAGGTGATGAAATTTGAGCATAGGCCTCTGTCTTGTTACGATGAATTGCCTGTTTCTGTACAGCATTCTCACAGCGGTACAGGGCTTTGATGTTTGGAGCAGTGTGTAATACAGGGAAATGGTTTTATAGCCACAAAATTTTTCATTAAGAAATCTGTCTGTATTACTAGGCTTTAATAAAGCATTACTTAGTTAGATTAACAATCGTTGCTGTTTTGTAGCCTTCATTTATCGCAGTAGGTGATTGGATACAGCTTTCAAGGGCCTATGTGGGATTCTCCAGGTTTTCCTGCGAAAAGACCAGGCTTCTTGGCAGATTAGGGAAATAAGTTATGCTGATCATCAAACTACATATGGTCTCGCCTAGTCGTCATTCTTTTAAGTGCTTTCCAGGGCCTAAATACACTTCCATTTGTAATTCTTCTGAGCAAGAGGCTTCCCTGCAAGTCAAAATGACCTTGTATCCACCACTTCCTCCCATCAACCAACTAAAGATTTCATGAATGCACTTTGTGGTGAGTTGCTCCTTTCCCATATCTGTGGCAGCGGTATTGCCCTTCTACAGCTCAAGAAGGACGTGTGCAATTGGTTGCTGCAGGAGAGAAGTCACTAAAGCAAAAGAAACGACATCCCTGTGAGGAGCTGAGGAGCATGTTACTGCAGAGCATTCTGCCACAGTGAACTTCTAGACTCCTGTTCTTGTCAAGTGTAGAGTTTCCAGTGCTATCTGTAGGGATGTGCAGCATTTAGGCAGGCCTTTGGACAGGCCAGTGCTGCTGATCTCTGTAAGACCTCCTGAGGATTTCTAGGCAGCTGGAATGCTGGGCTGCCCGCCCCACTCCATGGCACTTGTGGCTTAATATAGTCAGTGTTCATCCACAGATCTGTAGCATATTTAACCTTGACGTACATTTTTAATGTATGTTATCCGGTAAGGCTGAATAACTGTGGACAAATGGATGTTGTAGCAGGAAGTAGTCTAATGCCTTATTTTCTTTGTAGGCTATTTTTACTTGTGAGAAGTGTTCTCCAAAATCTCTGTAGCAGACTTGCTTAAGTTAATTAAAACTGTATGGTGTTTCCAGGCTCTGGGCAGGTGCAGGCTATGGGTAAGTGGCATTTATATCCCATGGTTGTAAAATGCATCTCTTCCCTTTAAAACAAACAATTAAAAAAATCGCCCACTGAAGAGTTACATTCCTTCAAAATGCAAAGTTGTCATAACATCTCATTTGTTTTGACGGCTTTGCGTTTTGCTGTTGACGTGTTTCTCATATATGGTGATAGGGTCTTTTTGGCAAAACCTTATCTTTGCTTGCAGTTTGCTCATTTTTTAGAGTAGCTTATTTTCCTATTAACGTCCCATAAGAAGTAATTTCCTATGCTGCGCCGCAGGTTGGAGATTTCAGAAGCATGAACTGTTAAATCTGATAAAAGCTTGAAGGTTGTTTGGTGTTTAAAGGAAGGGATTTTTTTTTTGTGTGAGGAATTCAAATATGCCTGTATTTATGTAGAGAAAGCTCTGTTTCTGAAGTTTCTCGGTATGAAAGTTTTGTGATTGAACAGACTGGTGTATGATGAGATGAAATGCCATCGCTGACTACATAGCTCAAAAGCTGTCTGGTTCTTGTTGCTATTGCATAGTGAGTGAGGGAATACCTTGAATTTATAATGTTTTTCAAAGTACTTCATGAAAGTTCTTTTAAAGTGAAATTGAAGTACTTCATTAAAGTGAGCCATGGGTTTTATAGCAGGATTTGGGACAAAGCTAAGGATGATGGGAAGTGGGTTATCTCTATGTAGCCAGTAAGTCATGAGGTGATCTGGAAATAGAACGTGGGTCTGGCTTCTCCCAGTCCCTGTAGCATCTACTAAATCTCTTTCCTTCTGAGTCCTTGCCCCTAAAGGCTTCTCTCTGTGGAGGTGAAAGTTCTACTTTTCATAGTGACATCCAATAGCATTTGAATTCCATTAGTATTTTTAGTACTCTGTCATAAGTAATGCCCAGTTGATTGGACAGTTAGCCTAAAACTCTTCCTGTAATCGTGTATAGTTACTATATGTTTTAATTAGCCAAAACAGGTGTAATGTTAGCTCTACTTGTGAAAGCTTTTTTAATGTTATGTGCTAACTGGTGTCAGCGAGTCACCATACTTTACTGGCCTGCTTTTCCTGATTTAAGTCTCATGCTGCTGTTTCACCCGTGTGCGGAGTGAATTCTGTAAATACTTGAGTAATCTTGAACAAGGTCCTGAACCATGGAGGGTATTACTCTGCTAAACTACAAAGTAGTGCTAGTGAAGAACGTTGGGGGAGTACAGAATATTTTAATGCGAAAGGAAATATCTGGAATTGATGCAAGGATTAGCAGCCTTGCTTTTCAGGAGTAACTTCATATTAATCACATTAAAACATGTCTCCTATATTGGATAGGCATTCAAACCTTTGTCGCTTTTGTATAATCATAGTTCTCTTAGATCTGTTGCAGCTGCACAGGTCCGTGTATAAACAGTATGTTGATGATGTGCTCCTATACTCACCTAATAACCTACTGGAAAGTCATGAGGCTGAAATACCTCACTTTCTGTCTCATATTAACTTAAACTTTCCTTAACTGCTGTCTCAGTTGAAATATGTTTAAAAACAAGTTATACTCTTTGTATGTGGTTCCAAAGTAATTTGTTCCAAGACTTGATATTTCTGTGTTCTTGCTTTCCATGAAGGCAGATGCTTTTGCATGCACATCACTGATATCATACAAATTTATATGCGTGCTCTATATGACTTAGGCTGGTGCAAAGTTCTGAATGTTCTTGTACCTTTGTTGGGGGTGATTTATCAAAATAAACAGCTGTTACTGATGATACGAGTACATCAGGTGCCCATGTGATGTAGCCAGAGAATACATACTTAAACACTATCAGGTATTTCGGTGAGATCAAGAATGGCACCCTAGGAATGCTGGTCAGGGAACATAAGAGGATGATTGAATCTCCTGTTGTGTTTTGGTGTGATAATGTCAAATTTTTTTTTAGGGAGGAAACTACTTTCTCCGTTTTCTAAAGGTGAAAGGGCTATTGCAACTCTCAGTTCCTTCCCCTTTAAGCTGGACGGATACTGATGCATATGTTAACTGTAGATAGACATGCAAATCTGGAGGAGAAAAGTTACTTGTCAAAGAACCACATTTTGGAATTACAGTGAGTGGAGGTTTACTTGCTTATTTTTGTTTGTTTACAGTTGGACAGTACCACTGAATGTCAGAGCTGCTTTAACTCTGGGTAATCTGGATTTGGTAAAAATCCAGGTCTTGTTCTTTGCTCACAGCTTCTAGTCAGCGCCAGATTTGGAGGGTTTGATGCCCCTGATACAGAAGGTTGATGGTAAACAATTAGAATTAACTTTGTAGAGTAAGCTGTGGAGATGAAGGCAGCTGTTGTAGGTTAGGTTTGATGGTATTAGCTAAATTAGCTCTGAAGTTGACTAATGTAAGATAGCAAAGCTTGGAAAGATTTGTCTTTTTGTGTGGAGATATGAAAATGCCTAGTAGTCAAAAGATGTTTCTTTCCACTTTAGGATGAGGAACTGCCTCTGCCAGATCAATAAAAAATTACTATCATGCTTGATCATTCTGCATTTTAGTGTCTTTTAAGAGAAAGAAAAGGGTAAAGATTATTCCCTGTTACTTCTGCAGACATGTTCATCTTGGTATTATAACCTAGACTGTTATGTACATCTCTAACTTAACTGCTGTCTTTATGAATTAAACATTATGATAAAATACATAGGGCATTTAATTTGACCTCCTGCTCCTTTCATTTGTGTATATGCAAGTCTTAAGTAGATCAGTGTTAAAATGCTTAATATTCTGGTGCAAAGTTTTGAATAATCTTGTAGTGTTGGGCATAATTAATGAAAATCAATAGCTTTTATTAATGATTCAAATACATAAGGTGCCCATGTAAAGCATGATGTTAGAGAATGTATCTTAAAATGCTGCCTAAATTGAGTATTTCGGCACAGACATATGTGTAGTTCTTATGGAGGTTAATTTGAAAAACACTGAATTTAAATCACTTTAGGTTTTATTTTATGGTGAATAAATGGACTGATAAAATTTGAAGGCTGACGGTCTTTGATGTCATTAATCGCCTTTGTTTCATTTTCCCAGGACCTTAAATACCTTACATGAGGTGCCCTCTGTACCAAAATAAAGATTGGAGTTTGCCCTGCTTGGTTTCCCCAATTCCTTCCCTCTCTCTCATCATCCTAGTTGAAAAGTGTTTTGTTAGTCTGATTTGGGTAGCTGAGAGGATTCCTACAGATCTCTCTTTGCTTGTAGAATGCCTGCCAAGTCTTGGAGGACAAGGAACAAAATGAAAGAAAGGGAAACTTACTTTTTATTATAGCTGTTTTAAATGACTGTTCAAAACTATCTTATTTTTTTGAAGAGTATTAACTATGCACAAGAGGTATGTAATCTCTTAAAGAAACTCAGCTCAAGTGTTTTGATGAATAGTAACTTATTTTTATTTTCCTTACTGAAACAGATTAATAAAAAAGTAATCCTGAATGTTCTTTTTAAATTATTTTTATTTTGCAGGTGTGGGATAAGATCTTTCCAGAGTAATAAGCATGGTTCGAGAACAAAAATGCATATTATGTCACATTGTGTACAACTCAAAAAAGGTAAATAATGATTGCTTTACATCTGTCAGTAGATACGAATAAGAAATGTGTGTAAGAAATGCTTCCATTTTAAAATTGTGCTAAGTATGAGGGTTTTTTCCACTCTACCAGGAATATATTGATCTAGGTCTATCACAAATCAAATAATGTATTTGCATGTGCTTTGGAGTATCTTTCTTGGAATGAGCTGTGAAGTATGCTTGATTCTGAATGTTAAAAATATTGAGGTCTTTGAGGTTTTTTTCTGTCGCTATATAAAGATACTAAAGTGAAAAGCACTTGACTCATTTGGCTCTAAGTTGTGATATGTTAAGAATACTGTAATATACAAATTTTTTTTATTCCTTTTGGGATGTCTGTATTTCCATATGGAAGGAGAAAGTGGAATTAAGGAGCACAGCATGTGTTTTCGTTAATATGTCGATTTGGTGTGTATCTTCTGTGTGCTGCATATCATGCAAAGCTTACATTGAAACTGAGTGTTTCTTAATGGACCTTCATATATTGCTTAGCCAGAAGGCATATGAATATCTTGCAAATGCCAATGTACTAATTCACACAACTCTTCAAGGTTGAAGGTGTTGCTTTCCCTTTGCAGATGGGATTTCAAGGTCTAAAGGGGATGGTGATTAGTATCTGTTCTTTGAAGATTTCAAAACACTTTGGCTCAGACACCAGGAGAAAATTAAATCTTCTGAACTGCTTCCTTTCACTGAGTTTTGAACATTCTTTCTCTTCCAGCAGCTCTCTTTCAGTAGCAATTATTACAGCAGCACTGCAGTTCATGGATCAATATTGCTGTAAGCAACAAACTGACACGTTGTGTACATCTGTTTCTGAAATGCATCTAGCAGAGTAAAATAGTATGCGATGGTGAAATTACGCCTGTGTCACAATGCAAATACAGAGAGACTGCTCAGATTGCACAGGAAAAGAGTGTTTTAAGCAGTGTGATTCTGGAGAGTGGTATCAATAAAACTTGTAATAAAAATCATGATTAACAGTAATTTGTCAAAAATCAATCTAGTAAGCTTTGCCACATGTGCTCCTATTTGTCTTTCTCCTGGAGTTCTCCTCCCCTTCTGTTGAATTCTAATGACTCCTGTATGTCCTTCCTCAGGAAAGGTAACATTATATGACTTCCTGAGAGTGTGACTACTTGTGCGTTCACGGTCATAGAAATGGGAATGGCAACTGCTTCAGCCCTACAGGAGTAGAGTACTCCTTCCTGCAAGGCAGGAGAGTTCTCAAAAGTGAGCTTTTCAAATATGATATACCATTTTGCTTTGTTTTGACCAATTTTATTTTTTTCCCCATGTCGAAGGAGATGGAAGAACACATGAGAAGCATGCTTCACCACAGAGAACTTGAAAACCTGAAGGGAAGGTATGAGAACAATCTTGCATCCTTCCTCTCTGTGCATTTTGTATGTCACTCTCTGGAGGAAGTCATGTCCTGTTTCCCATACAGGCTGAATTGCACAATTTATTTTTATGCATCACTTAGTTGCGTACTGTGTGATAAAGCTGTCAATGAACATGTTCTCTTAATGTCAGAAACTCAGGAGGCAAACAATGATGTGGAAGAAAGCTCTCCTGTATTTCTTAGACTGCAGTGAAATAAAATTAAGGAACATGGTTTTTTAGGTCTTGGCAGTTTCATGCTTGGTTTCTTGGAAGCGCTAGAATTCTGCCTTTGACACGATTATGAACACTAGTATTTTCCTTTTTAAAATGTTTTTTAGAAGTTTTCAGTGATCTGGAAACAACTGTTGATCTTTAAAACAAACCACTGTGAGAAGACTGGTATCTTGGATGTGAAGTCTGAATCTGCTCGAGTGACTGCCTTGTCTTCTGCCAAGCTGGTCCAGTTATCTGGTAAAGGGACCTAGCCATGGTGGATGGTGTTTTCCTTCTGATTTCCTTAGTTCTATTTGCAGCCGTTGGAAAGCAGGAGGAGGGAGTTAAAGGGTATTCAAATATCATCTTGATAATGAGTCAGATTGTAACCAGAATGCCCTTAAAAGTGCTTTCAGGTGTATGGGTTTTAAGGTAGCCAGAGAGATCAGATAATCTACAATTAAGTATCTGATCTACAGACTAATTTTTAATCATCTTGCAGCACGAACTTTATATGGAAATGGCAAATCTCTATTTTAAACACTGTTTAAAGGACTAAGAAGTGGTTCTCTTTCAACTCTTAGGGGTGTGGGAGATCCATTTTGTCAGGACATCTGTCTTATATCCAGGGAAGAAAAATTGTAAACTACCTCTGTTTGCATGCTAGCTTCTCATTCATGTAGCTTTTATTCTGTTTTGTGTAAGGTGAGAGCAGCTGTTAGGGGTCCAGGCCCCTTCTGTTAAAGAAAGACTGAGTGAAATTATGACTCTGATCTAGACTATGATAGATGCTAATGCCAATGTAGTTAAGTTGTGCCAGGTTGGATTCTAGTAAAACTCTTAAAATGTTTTGTTTTATAGTTTCAAAACTAGAGAAAGTTAGAAACTAACTTCTCTTCAGTAACTTTTTATATGCAAAGCATATGTATAGCTGCAGAAAAATGTCTACATTTGGAGTACAAGATTGTATTACATACATGCCACAGATGAAGACGACATTTGTTTGAGCCAGCTGTATATTATTTTACACCACTGTTGTGTACACTTGCTAACTATTGCTGTAGTTTGTCTAAATCAGCACCTTAAAATGTTTTTAGGTTAAGACTAACAGCATATGTGTATGCCCACTTATCTGCTAACATTTCAAATTCTCTCTCTAAAATAAAAAAATAACCCTTATTGCAGGGCAATGAGTAAAAAGATACTCTTTACCTTGAAGTGCATATTAACTGTCAGTAAACAACCTCTGTTGTCTAATTTCTACTTCCATTTAATATTTGATTAATTTGTCTGGGGCTTCACAGTAGGTTAGTAAACTGGGAAAAGAACTTCCATCTTCACAATCTCCATCATCAGCCTGTCTTTAGGCAGGGGTTGTGTGGTTTATCAAAATGTTAAAATAAATCAGAAAGAAAATTAAATAATCTTTCCCTCTTGAAATTAGATTTGTTTTAGTGGATTTCAGAAAATCTTCAAGTTGTCCAGATGAACAAAGTTGTTCGTGGGTTACATTGAGAAAATGTATGAAAGCAGCTTTTTGGAAGCTATTTCATTTTTTTTCAAATAAAAATTGCTTTGTAGTAAAGATGGAGGACATAAAAATTATAAGTTCCTCACATTGCCCACTCTCTCCTCTTTTTTTTTTTTTTTTGTCCTTTCCCTCCTGCCATTGCCATTCCTTGCTCAGCCCTACCTTTCTTGGGGTGTTTTGTTCTGAATTCAACTACATACTTAAAAAGAAAACAAAACCAAAAAAAACCCAGATAATTTTGTTTTCTTCTCTGCTGTGCCCCACACAACTGGGTCTTGGGAGCTAGGAACATTCGGAAAATGTGCCTGGGATCAAGTGCATCGTGCTATTTGATATCTGTCCTGTTGAGCGTGAAAAGGATTTGTTCTGTTACTGAACAACTGGGAAGGAGTTGCTCAGAAACCAGAATGTCCTCTGCACTGGAAGCTGACTTACAGCTCTGGTCAGCTAACTTGTAGAGCATTTCTGTTCTGGACTTTCTTCTTTTGACAATGATTCTGAGATCAGCTTAAAATTTCACACATTTTGGTGTTTTATTTCTGGCCTTCTAAGTTAATTTTTTTATTTTTAGTTTATGACTCTTGAAGGTAACAGTAATTTCTGGAAGTTGTATATTGTGTCTGCAGTGGCTTGCAAGTGATCTGACAATTCTTGGTTTTCCGTAAGACTGAAATTAAATTAAATTTGTTTCATCATCATTACATTTTCTGTTACTAAGGTAACTGTCTTTGTTACTTCTTTCAGAGCAATACATAGAAGATGTTTGTTCTCAAAATGAATAATGAACTTCATTTTTTACTGTGCAGTAGCAGCCTTGTTCTCTTCCCCTGTGCCTCTCCTTCTTCCTCCCATTTAAGTTCAGGAGAAGTCTTTTAGGAGTCTTACAGCCCTGTAAAGTAAAAGGTATTCCAAGTAGAAAACGTGAAGCACAAGCAACAGCCTCATGAGTGTGGTTGAATTGTGTAACCAAGGTTAATACCATTAAAGTGTGTCATATCAGCATCTTACTACCTTCAAATTTAACATCCAACTAGAAGTCACTTTTTAGATTTCCTGTAGGGAAGAGATAGAGGAAATGCATAGATTGGTTCACACTTTTCTCCTTTTAAAGTTAATTTAGTAATTTCAAGGGCTAGAATAATTTTCTGAAACATTTTAAGGCTCTGTTCTTCTTGAAGTTTTACTCCATGTGATATATATAAGGAGAATTAGATGTCAAGTACAAAGCTTAGTGTTTTGTTTTGTTACTTGTTCTTTTTAAAAATTGAAAGTGAAATAATGCTCTTGTACAAGGGACATTGAGTGTGCCATCTGAAGTACACATCCAGTAAATAAAGCTCTTGGATGTTTTCATACTGAGGATACTTTTGTCCTGTTTATTTCAAACTGCTTTTGGCCTTGTTGAACAACTAAGATTGTGTGCTGATCGTGTATGGTAGGAAAATGTGTAGATATGATCAGTGTGTGTCGTGGAGTATGCCCAGTTCTGGCTGATATTAATGGGGATAGGAGAAGGAAAGAACTGAAGGAAATCTAAATTCCCTTAAGTGTAACTATCTGAACTCCTAGCCAATTCATCTTCAATTAAAGCAGTTGTTCATATAGGGGGAAAAAAAAAGCATTGTTTTTTCTTTAGGTTCATATAGATTAAGAGCGGAACAGAGAAGTCTAGTCACTACCCACTTGAGCCTTTTCTTTCCAGACTGTCAGTGGGTACAAGAGCCACAGCTTTGTAATTAATAACTCGCAAGTTAGAAGTGACAGAAAGAAGGTCTTTGGCCGTAGGCCAGCTGCTAACTCACTGACTTTGTCCAAAATAAATAGAACTTTGCATTTATTTCATTAGTCTATAGATGAGGATGATGAAAGTTTTATGAAAGAATTGAAGCATGGGTCTTATGAAGGATTTGGATTGTTCTCTAAAACCTAATTAGTACCACTAGAGTATGTTTCTCGTTGAAGTGCCCTTATGATTGAAGTGGAACATGATGTATAAAGAACACCTTTTTCAGCAAGAAGCCAACTTTCTCTTTGCAGTTTGCCTTCTTTGATGACCTAAGTTAAAAATAAGTCATATTAGCAATGCATAGTTGTGCCATTTATGAACGTGGAGAGGATTCTTCCGATAGCATTAGTAAAATTTACTGATTGTATTTGGTTATCTTTGTTGGGTAAATGAGATATCCCAAAGTACAATAGGTAGTAGCTGGGCTTTGAATATTTGTTAGTGAGTGTGAAATGTGCAAAATGAAGTATACCCATCTCTGGAAAATACAGACTAAATTTGGGAGCTACTGACTTTGTAAATGAAATTTATCCACGTTTTTCATCTGAAATTAGGCTGCAACATACAAAATAATTAAATGTAAAAAGTGTGATTTTTAATAATTAGTCTATTTAAAATAAAACCCTCTCTAGCTGTGCCTGAATGACTGCATTGGTTAAATATCTCAACTGTGTTAGTAGGAAAACCACAAATTTCCACGATAAATAAAACATAGCTGCTGACACTGCATTAACTACTTCAGTAAGGAGGTTGGCTTAATATCTTGAGTGAAGGTGCATGTTCTGTTCTCTTTCTCATTTTATTTTTAACTTTTCTCTAAAAAAACAAGGACTCATGTTTGTCTTTTTTCTTTATGGATCCTGTTTTTTTTGACCCTAGTCATGAACCTGTGTGTTGGTATTATAATGCTACTGTTATAAGACTTTGGTTTCAAGTGAGCCATGGGGATATCCAGATCTGCTTTTATGAATTAAATGGTAGAAGTGAAGAAATCATTGTGGAGGCAGACAGTGAGTCCTAACTTGGTCCCCCTGAGTTACTTGCAGTGGACTATGCTCTGATTAAGATTTTCTCTGACTTTTTTTATACTGGTGAACATACTTTCCTTGTTTAGGTTTATTATTAACGATGTATTTCCTTAACAGTGGAGAATTGAAAGGATTTGTCAGGTGAAAAAATAAGGTATTTTTGGAAATCTGAATTTCTTTTTAAAAAAACAAACAAACAAACAAAACCCCACAAACAAAACCCCCCCCCTCAAAACCCCAAAATTAAAAAATATTGTAACTCTAATCCAGTATACACTGAAACATGAATAAAGCCATTTGTCTGACACAGCTGTCAACTTCCTCCGGCTGAAATAATTTCTGTATTTTTTGAGATGAGTCCTCTATAAAGTTGAAAGCAGACTCGTGCACACTTGAACCAAATAAAGTACAGTGAACTGAAGACACCCTCCCATCACTTGCTGTGCTGTGGAGTCTTTGGATTCCAGGCAGCAGTCTCAGCTGTCCCAGTTTAGGTTATGTTGTATCAGGATTGGCTGTATCCATGTGCTGCCTCCTCCCTTTTCTAAATTTCACTGGGGGAATGCTCAAGGCAAGGATTAAATGTAGAAGCTGTCACCAGGCTTCCCCAGTGCAGCTGGCACCATGGATGGGCTTCAGAGCAGCTCCTGCTAGCTCTGTAAGCCTTCCACTGTGCCTCCTCGCTCACTATGTTTCCTCTGAAAAGATTTTGAGTACAACAATTCAAGAAGAATTCCTCCTCCCAGTTAACGCAGCTTTATTACCAAGTCTTTTACCTCTTGATTGTTGGAAAAAAATCTTTTAAAAACTGACCATCAAAAAACTGGACCTTGAAAGAAAAAGGCAGAGAATTCAAGTAACTTAAATATACTGAGCAAAACCTGGTTGCCTTGATCTCAAGCACATTCAGAGGAAACAAAGTAAGACCAGAGATAGCTGCCATGCCTGTTGGCAGAGTTGAAAGTCCTCCCTCTGCCTCTCTTCCTAGGGACAGCAACCATGAATGCCGGGTGTGCAGGGTGACAGTGGTGGGTTTGTCAGCCTATGCCAAGCACATCTCCAGCCAGCTGCACAAAGACAATGTTGACGCCCATGACAGAAAAGAAGAAGAGAAAGAAGAGGCAGAAGAAGAATACCTTGACAAAGAACTCATTCAGTTAACCAAGCAAAGGAAGGAACGGAACCGGTGAGTTTTCCTTTCTCCAATTAGGCCATAGAATTGCTTTTAACACAGTTAGGATACGTTCCTAAGGCTTAGGTGCTCGTGAAATGTAAACTGCCTGTAGCCAGTGTACTTGTTATGAGAACAATCCAGGAGACCTATGTGGATATTGTAGTTTCAACATGTAAATGTGATTCTGCTGAATGTTCTTGTTCTGTTGATCTGCTACTGGTAAGGAAGTACAGCTATTCTCCATTATGGATAAAAAAAATCCCTAGTGTGGAACCTTGTGTTTTGAGAGCCCTAATGTTTTGATTTTAATATTTGATACCCATTTAACTAAAAGGCTTAATAAATATAACGATAGTGCTAATATTGTTGGGCTTGGGGGGGGGTGTCTGTAGGAACCTCGCCTTTTAGAAACTGTTGCTGAACATGCTTTGTTGCAAAATTTTAATCTTTCTGGTTTTAAAATTAATGGAATTGTTTGATAATTTCACACTGAAATCCCATAATCCTTGAAAGAAATTTCTTACCTGTTTTATCTTACTACTTGCCATTAACTAAACATAATTCTAGTAGCTCACTATGAAATAGAAGGCTGCAGAGAGAATAAATATTGCCTTTTATCTTCTACGTGACTCTGCAAATGTGCATTGCTAATATGGTGTTCCAGTTGAGAACATACTGTTTGAATAGATTTATGGCATGGCGATGGTATTAAAGGGGCATATGATTTTTGAAAGCAGCTCTTGTTTGCTGTGGTTAGGAATTTCAATTATTGTCTCCAAGTGCACAAATCTGTGGAGATTATTTGGTTTTGACACCATTCTGTCACATTAAAGTGTCCCTGTACTGCATGATGATAATGTTTTTGTATTGGTCAATATAGGTGACAACAATGTCATTTTTCCTGTTTTTATGGTAAAAACGTAATGCTGTCAGTACAGTGGTATTCTGAAGCAACTAAAATCTTAGAAAATCTCCTGCTTCTGGATGCCAATTTGGGGATGGGGGGAGTTCATGGATTAAGTTACTAATACAGCAAAATTGTTTCCATTAGATCATAATCTAGTTGGGTCAGCTCCTAGAACTTACGGTATCACTTAGACATCTTATGACGTAGGCCATTTCCCATTAAAGAGTAATTTTTTGTGAATCTTTTAGCAAAACTGGAGTGTGTTGGAAACTGAAAGAGTGGTACAATATGAATTTTCAGTTTACTCAAATCAATTGTTGTTGATTTGTCTTGCTTGTCCAGGGATCTAGGATGAATGTATTCCTGTAATCTCAAAAAGAAACATTTCTGTAACCGGTTTTTGGAAAAACTTTTGATAAAAGCTCCTCATTTGGTACAATAAATACGTAGAACATTTAGACTGCTGACCCTGGGAATAGCTGTCGGTGTTAAGGTAGCATTTATCTTTAAATGTACATGTGATAATTTACCACGTGTTCATGGTAAGTTGCCAAGCACGAGTACTATCCAAAGGGCAGTAGATAGTGCTTCTGGGAGGCTCATACAGACTCAGCATTGCATGCTGTGGGCTGTGCAAGTCTGTTGGTTAAAACAAAAGAAAATATTTTTGTACCTGAGGTACAACTTCTGTGAATGTTCTACATCAGTGTTTTAACTTAAGCTTTATAAACTGAGACATAGTCTCAATTGTTTTCTCCAGTAAGTAGAATAACTGGTTTTCTCAGCCTAACTTTCCTTGTGTTTCATAGCAATTCACTCTAGTTACACCATCTAATACCAACAGAATAGTCTTCAGAAAAAGTAATTATCTTACTACTGATGAATTTTTTGTCTATCAAGGTTACTCAAATTACAAAGCTTATACAACAGAAAGAAGCTTTGTTTCTTATTAGTCCAATAACTTGAAAATAGAAAAGAATGTTATCTTCTGAATTGAACAGAAATATTTAAGAATTAGTCTATTGAACTGTCCATGCACTATAATCAGTTGTTCTTGTAAAAGCAATTTTGAAATATCATATTTAAGTAAAGGTACAACATTAGTTTTGAAAGTCAAACACTACAGAAGCCTGAACAGTAAAGCGGCTAAATAAGTTATCTGGTTTTTTTATTTAAAAAATAAAGTTTTCTTCCCAGTGCAAATAAAATGCGTGAGGCTTGTGTGCTGTTGGATTTCAATGGAATGGCATCAGAATTTAAGTTTTTCTCAATTGTTTTGTAGGCAAACTGAACCAAGCTGTGCCAACCAGGAGTTAGAATGTGATGACAGGAGATCACAGAGAAGGCGAGAAGAGAGAGCTACTTACAAAGAAAGAGAAGCTTATGATCAGTTATCGTGGCATCATCATAATGCATCACAGAGGGACTGGAAGTGGGAAAAGGATGATTATATTAGTCCTAGACAAGGCAAATTTTCACACTGTCAGAGGAACCTTAATATAAACAGACATTCAGGTGGCCCAAGGGGACGCTCTGGGTGGCACCAAAATGTTTCAGGAAGCTCTTCAAATCGGCATAACTATGGGAATTCTGGAAATGTTTGGCATCCAAGCGGACGGGGAGGAGGAACATCAAATTGGCATCACAGTGCCAGGGAGAGAAATTCTGCTTGGCACTCAGAAGGAACAGGGCATTTTTCTAGCTGGAATTCCAAGAGTTATGGAGGAAACTGGAAATCTAGTCCTCATGGTATGAATGGCTGGAATTTTGGAAGCTCAGGAGATACATATTCAGTAGAGCCAATTAAATATAAGGAAAGATATGCATGGCAGCGGCAGGAGAAAGACATTGATGTTCTGCCATACAGGGATCGAAAAAATAGGAGTGACTTGCTTGATTTTACTAGTGATAAACTTCCTTCTGAGGGGGCATTGGATTTTGGTATGTCGAAGCAACCAGAAAGCAAAATTTCAAGAGCCAGTGGAAAAAGTGGCAGTCCTTCCAGAGATAAGATGTATCGCTGGACTCCCTACCCATCCCAGAAAGCTGTAGAGCAGCAACCACGGTCCGAAGATAATGTTTCTAAAACTCCGGATAAAATGGATTCTATATTTATGCCTCTTACCGATTCATCAATGAAAGGAAAAACTTGTGAAGCCAATGTTAACCTTTCAAAACTTAAAAAATGGGAAGCATCTTCCCCTTCGAATGTAACCTCAGATCACCTTGATTCTTGCAAGGTAATGAAAGACTGTTCCAGTGGTGAAAAGCCTGACAAAGGTGATGGCAGAAGTAATGGGATGCCATCACTGAAATCCCCTCTTCTGAATATCACAGATATGAAATTATCTTCCCCAAAGCAAGACACAAACAGTCTCTTAAAAACCGTCAAGCTTCTATTGTCTTCAACTAGTGGCAAAGAGCAGAATCATTTGAATGCACCGAACCTGGAAACAAACAGTTTCTCCTCTTACTCAGTGAAGCTGCATGGTGCGTGTGCTGGTGACTTACAAGGTAACAAAGATGTTCTTGATATCAATCCTGGAGAGCCTGTTAATAACTTAAGTGAAGCAGAACAAAACCCCAAAGATAGTCAGTCAAACCATTCCTTGCAAAGTGCTCCCTTAAGCTCTTGCAAGGATACAAGTGACCAGAATAGGGAAGAAACTGGGAAAGCATCACCAAAGAACGAGTTCAGACTAGATTCATTAGAAGATGTGAGCGATGATGATTTAACAGGAAGTGAGAAATCAGAAGCAAGAGTTGAAAAGCTGGGTTCTTCTGTTAGTTCTTGTTTACCCTGTGACACTCCAGAAAGTAAACATGCCACCTCTGAAAAGGAAGATGGTGAAAAGCCGGCAGCTTCAAGTATTGCTTCTGCTGATCTAAAAGATTCTATGTTTCAGACGGAATCCAGAGTTTCTCCATCAAGCACTCAGGACCATTTGCATGTGGATTTGAAAACCTCCTCACAGGATGGAGAAGGGGATGAAGAGCGTGTCAAGTCACATGATCGCTTTGAAATGGAAGGTTTTGAAAATCCTTCAGATCATGAGCTGCAAAAAGGAGGAAACCAGTCACTAGGCCTCCTTCTTCCTGATTTAAGCAAACTTGGCCTCCCTGCCTCTCTGCAAAGAGACCTGACACGACATATTAGTCTGAAGAGCAAAGCCGGGACACATCTTCCAGAGCCCAATCTCAATAATGCACGGCGCATTCGGAATGTGAGTGGCCATCGGAGAAGTGAGACTGAGAAGGAGTCGGGGCTTAAACCCACCCTCAGGCAGATTCTTAATGCTTCCCGGCGAAACGTAAACTGGGATCAAGTCATCCAGCAGGTAACCAAGAAGAAACAGGAACTTGGCAAAGGTTTACCAAGGTTGGTAGCTTTCAGATCTAACCATGCCACTCTGTGTCTGTGTTGAGGGGAGAGGGCTGTTTATCTCCAAATCTGGAATGAATTCCAGAGTGCTAAAACTAAGACTTCAGAATGAAGCTTGCTATATCACAATCTTTTGCATTTACAAATAATTTACAGTTTTTATCATTGCTTGCTGCTGTGGATGTCTATCCATAGATAAGTAATAGTAGTCTGCTGCTCAGAAAAGATTTTGGTATGGAATTCAGAAAAGCCTGAATATGGAAACTAGCAATAATATTTGCTTTTCAAGTTCTAGTAAGTGGAAGAATGTAAAAATGCAGTCAGGATATGAACAGTGCTGGGACAGTTGCTTATTTCTTCATTTATTCAGCACTATAAGAAATGCTTGCATTGCTGCAGGCAGAATAAACGCTCCCTCTTCATTTTTTTAGTCTTTTAATGTGATATGCAGTTTGGTTTTGTGTTTAGAGGAAAAAATTGTATAATACTTCACTTTTGAAGCTTTCTTTAAACGCTTTCTTTAAACCTGGAGTTTTTGAAGAGTCTTGAAAAGATGTCGTATTTGCTTATTCCAAACTTGGTTTGGAATAATTATAACAACATGATTTCTGACTTGGAAATCATGCTGTCAGTTCTTAGCCACTAAATAATTTTGTGATACACAAAAGATATTCTATTGCCAGATGAGATAGAAAGCACAGAATGCCTGTGTAATGAGTTGCCAGATCTCTTAAAGCAGTCGTACATTTGGGGAAGGGGGAGGCACCAGATTTAGCTGGTTTGTAACATGTGTGTTTATTTTTCTTTTTATCTTGTTAAAGGTTTGGCATAGAAATGGTGCCTCTTGTTCAAAATGAGCAAGAAGGTCTAGAACTCGGTGAAGAATCTGATCTGTCTACTCTGGAAGGATTCCAGTGGGAAGGGATTTCCTTAGCAGTGTCTGGTTCCGCCAGAAAACGTAGCTTTTCTGAAAGCAGTGTCATTGCAGACAGAAGTCCTTCTGCTTATAGTTTCTTCAGTGAACAAGCAAAAATTAAAGACAGCGGGCAAAGGCAAATAATTTCAGCCAGCCACTCACATCACATAACATCTGGGTATGAGGCAAGTGCTGATACTGAGGCTGACTTGAAACGGGAGACATCTTCTCTTCCTTTGTCACCATTTATGCGTGAAAGAACTGAGACTAGTGGAAGGAGTCATAGCCTACAGGCCACCTCTGAGGTCACGGGCCTCACAAAACAAGACCAGGAGAGCCCAGAGAAGAGAACGCCTCTTCTTGAAAAACAAAATGTACTAGAAATCTCAGAAGAAAATCGTCCGGCTTCAAATAATGCTTCACTTCTTGCAGTGTGTAATAACATAGATGCAGCTACAGACAGTAGCTGCACATCTGGTACTGAGCAGAATGACAGCCAAGGAATTGGAAAGAAACGAAGAGCAACTGGGGTAGGCGTGCAATTTTCTCCAACTTTGGTGCACTAAAAAATGTTTTTCCCCTGTCAAAGGTCGTTCAGCCTTGGAATGATCTCTGCAAGGAGGACTTTCTCCATTTGATTGTCTTGTACATTGATAACCTCAAACTAATTTGCTTGTTTGACTTACTTTTCTTTAATAATCTTTTCCATTTCTGCCTTACTAGTGCAGGACTTCTGCTTAATCTTTTTTAATTAGTAGGAATGGCAAATGCTCTTTAACTTTGATTTGGTAACTGGCATGCTGTGCTGGTAAACGAGAGCTATTAAAATATTTCCGTGGAAGTACTGGGTGTTGTAGCAAGGATCTTGGTATTTCAAAACTGAAATGGAAACAAAATTACATACTTAAAATGGTATCCTTAAATCTGAATTTGTTTCACTGGACTTACCCACAGAGGAAAAAAAAACCAAACCCAACGTTTCTGATCAAAATCCTCAAAATGATTTTATATGCAGAAAGTGATAATTTTAATTCCTCACTGATGTAATCCTCTAGACCTTCAACTAAAATGGTAGAGCAGAAAATCTGACCCAAGTGTGGTCTTAAACATCTGAGCGACTAGCAGGCTGTTGGCTTATTTAATATTTCTTCCTAGTTGAGATGAAAACGTAACATTCACTTTGTTGCCTTTCCTCTTTTAAGGGCAGAGGAAAGGATGAGTTATACAAGAATGTGCAAAATTAATTGTATATTCTTTTCTTTGTGTACAAGTAATTGTTGAAAATACGGTGGATGTTTGACTTTTTGATTTAGGCAAAATTACTCTCATAACTTTTGTTAATAAATGATTTTACTTGCAGGAGGGATCTTCTCCTGAAATCCCTAGTCTAGAAAGAAGGAATAAGAGAAGAAAAATCAAAGGTAAAAAAGGTGAGTGAGTATCATACGTATATGCATCTGGTATAGAGGTTATAAACACCTAGTATTTTTGATCTGTCTGAAATGGTAGTTCCTTAATGTTACTTTGGTGCTTCTTGGGCTCTTACTGAAGATCATAGGATGGGCTGCTCTTCAGCCTGCAGTGCATTCTTCTCTGAAGAGTCCCATCTTAATTTGTCAGGAGTTATTTCTAAGAGAAGACTTTGTGCCTCCTTTCTGCCTGCGTTCATGTTCCCAGTTGTGCAGATGGAGCCTTTGCTTTCCCCTGTTCAGGGAAGAGAGGTTTGTTGCCTCTTCGAATGGAAGTTCTGAAGGGAGAAGCACTCATCACTCCTTTCTAATTCAGCTTTCTACTTCTGAGTGGTCTCACCAGAAAACTTGTACTCTGCGTAACTTGGACTGTGTTCTGTTTTTGATGTTTCTGGCAATACTTTTATTTTTTGACTCCTCCTTCCCTGTCCTTAATGGAAATGAATATGGAATGCCTCACTCTT